AAAACAATCGTTTCGGACAAGTAGGGCTACCATATGTCAACTGTCGTTCGTAAATAGTACGGTATTCGGCAATGACCTTTTTACATATATTCCGGATTTTTCGATATTCACACTTAAATGATGCGTGTCCTGTAGACAAGAATAAGTCACAGAAGTGTCTCCTACGCTTCAACAACTTCCGAGATTCCTTGTTAATCAATGGAGGGCAATGTGGCATCTTACGTGTTGACCATGGGATAAACGGTGATGATACATACTGGAATGTGGCCTTAAACTTACCCTTTCGTCTTTGATCGATCCATCCGCCTCGACCGACCAGTCTGTTGAGATATCACAGTCTCTGATTGTCAGAATATTGGCTCTCCATATATTTTGACGGGGTGAAGTAGATACAAATTGTATGCCGAGTATCCGAAACCTAATGTACAACGATCTACCTCACACGTATCACTAACTTGCACCTCCGATGTGATCGATTACGCACGAAAGTGGTCCCTAACATATAACATTATGCCTACTCCCTTGCGACGAGGCTAATTGCTTCTTGGATGAGTAATGTTTTGCTCGAAGAACAAAACATACAGAGCCAATGAGAGTTGGCTATGAGTACATTTTGTAAGCTGTGAGGCTTAAGCGGGTACACATCTTATGGAACAACATATTACATTCATCACACTGCATTCCTTTTTCCACAAGGAATAAACGATACGGCTGTCTACATGTATGAGCAGGGCGGGTCATCTTAGAAATTCACTAAAAACAGTAACACAAAATGGATGTGTAAAAATCCCAAACTTTAACCAAATAAACCGGTGAGACTATAATTTATGGACGACCTTTGAGCGACGCCAGGTCGACCTTGAGAGTTTCCACCTAATAACGAGAACCAAATGAGGGTTATAAACCCGTGTGAGGAATTAAAATTACGATTTGCAGCTGATGATTAAGGTTAGAAATTAGATTTAAGGTCTTCATCACGAACTGACATAAGCTATATTGCCAAATTATTTATGGCTGCAATTAAACTCAACTTGATTTCGTAAACGTGTCAGTCAGCTTAGCGACCAGTCAGAATGAAGCGGGAATTATTATATCCTACATCTTCGTAAGCAATGGCGACCGGCTTTCTTCGTTCTGTGTTTTTCCCGCTATTTCTTTTGTGTAGCTAAAGAATTTAATGTTTCAGTGTGCTAAAATACAGAGGTTAATGTAATACTCTAAACGTTGGAGCAAAGTGTTTCTGATTTAGCTTTGTTTTCTGGGTTTTACCCGCTGCTACTGAAGTCAATGTATTTCTCCAGGCAAGCTCGCTAGTCCTATGTTTTAAAATGATAATCGGTTTTGTTTTACCTTGTTTTCTAGATATCCAAAGCCGAAGTTCGTTTTTATTTGGCTTAAATAATTGTTGCTGCCGCCTGTGACTCAAACTGTCCACATGTTCGTTCCCAACTGTCCTTTATGATGTTATCGGCAAAATGAAAGAAGACGATCACCGGTTTTTAATTTTTTTCAGTATTATGGACAACACTACCCCACCAACGAGTCAAACTAATATTGAGTGCCTAGCAGTAGAGGATATTAGTATTGTTTTCGAAAGGACCCAGACTTTCGACAACCATTCCGAGCTCCCGATTTTGGGGTTTATTTGACCCGTTTTGGGGAAGCCGCTGTAGTAAACTTTGAGGAATGACGCAAAACCTAAAATTTCCCCGGAATCTTATTAAACCATGAGGAAGTGGGCGTATATTTATTATTAAAACCCCAGAGTTTTTCACAATTTTGGGGAAGGCTATTTCACTTTTCGATTTCCCCAAAGTTGGGGCTTGGGATGGTCGAAGTCACAGATGCTACCGATCTATTGCAGAGGGTTTGTTATAAAAAATATGCCATATAGCAGTAATAGAGAGGTTGTACTCATTACGCAGTGCGTTAAGGCAAGCTTAACATTGAAAAGCCGTAAATCTGCTATCACTGTGTACTGTATGTTTGCTGTTTTGGTCATAAAAGGGAGCCAGTGGGTCATGATCAGGGAGTAAAAAGGTAATTAACTGTTATTAAGCTCACGTTTTTATAGATTATATTTCACCACTCGCAAGTTCGTTTTTTCACGGTGTGGTGTCAACCGGTACCTAATACGTTCACCCTTGCGATGAAAAGTACCTGCAAATTTTCACTTTCACATTCCAGTGATTTTTGGACAACTGCCATTTTACTCCAATTTCAACTGTTATATCTTACTTTAGGAAAACAAAATTGTATGCAGCAAATACAGACTTATTTGTTTTGATGGAGGTAGGGGGTTCACAGGATGTTTAGCAAGTGTGTAGTAATATTCTCATCAAAAAGCTAAGTGAGTACGTAGGCCAATGTAAGATACCACACAGTGTGCCTTTGAGTTACTGGTGTTCCATTTTAATAACAAACTATGAGATTAGACACAGGGAGGTTAGGATGTGTAACGCGTGTCCATCCATCAACTGTCGTGACAACTCATGGTGGCTAGAATAAGTTGTGAGAGGACACGAGTCTGTAGGTTTCCCAAGAAAGTGACAAAGATATGTAATACATCACTTAAATTCACTACATATGAACTCGGTGCTGGGAGGCTCGCTTATCACAAGTTTCTTGCAACGATTAAGTAGATAAAACAAAGTGGCATTAGATTCAAAAATTTATTCAAGGACTTTCATTGAGAATCGAATATCAAACAAAGGTTTAAACCAAGTTCCCGTTTAAAAGTTGTATTGGTAATGTTAAGCTGCAGTTTTTGTTGTTTTTTTTCAAAGGAAAGAGTAAAAGAAGTCAAAAAATACTGGAAGTGGTTGTGAGACTAAAATGGACGTCCAGCATCCTTTTTATATTCTGCTGTTCGTTGGGTCTCCTGTAAGCAGTTCCATAGGGCCATAGTTCCAAGGGCGGAACAGCTTTTAGGGTCTGTGAAGGCTCACTCCTGTTGCACTCTAAATGAAAAAAATAGTGATGAATTTAGTCAGAAATGTGGAATAGAAAAATAACCCAATTACATGTTTTTTAGCAAAGAATTTATGCAGTTGTGATTTACCTTGAGTTCATGAATATTAGATAAGGTCAGCTACTATTACTTGTGCAAAGCATAACATGGGCTTAGAACCGTGTTGGAATGCTTTTATTATTTTGCTCCCATTTAAGTATTCCCATGCATCTGCGTCTAGTTTAACAGGAAAACATACAAGCAGAGTAAGTGTCTGATAAACTAAAAGTCCCAGTTGTCAAAAAGATTCTTAACATTTGTCCACCGCCAGCTGCATTTAATTGAGACACAGAACACTCATCTTCTAAGACTGTATACTGCTGTTTTGCGGGTAACTAAAAGCTCAGACGCTTAGCAATCCTCCTACCTATGTTTTTGCTGGGGAAATTGTTTAATGACAGCGCTCTTGAAATATGGTCAGTGATAAATGCACAGTTTAGAAATAAACACCAAACATACTTATCGCTATCTTATAATGTATGACAGTGAAGATGACACAGGTATTCAGTGTTTGTCAACGCTCCTACCAGTAACACCTTCTAATATGATTTGTACCCACCGAGAGAAATCAAAAGACAGAGTCGAGGAGATCGGAAGAGAGTATTTGTCGATAACCAAAATATCGGAATTCTCTGATATAATCTGGCTAGCGATTGCGGTTGATGTTTAGCACGGCGTTACCAAACGTGATCTGGTGCGGATACCTGACCGAGCGCCTTCAGCTAGATGAGTCCACTAAAACATATGGTCAGCATCCAATGTCGAAAACTTACAGGGCTATTTATTTTGGGGATTTATTTACCGCTACAGTATGTATGGTTGAGTTACCCGATTGTATAACTGCCTGAATAGAGTCCATGCCTCTTGTACTGATGCCCTTGAGTCAATTTCCCAGTTTTCAGCCGATGCTGCGGAGTTAATTGCCTTCATATCTGCCTTCCATATGTTAGGACGGGCCGGCGCAGCTGTCTGACAGGCAGTCTCAGCCATGAATTTAAATAAGATGACTGCATGACCGCTTCTCCCTAGTGGTGGGAGGAAAGTCATTTGACCAACGTCATCACCGTGTGTGAAGACCAAATCTGAAAGAGAAGAAGAGTTTCTTAAGTCATATCTTGTAGGATTTCTAATGTGTTGGAATAACGCTAATCCAATCGAGGTCTCTAATAATTTGCAATCGAACGATGTTATCGATGGCCCCTACTCCTCAGTTAACCCAGTTTATATATGGTTCAATAAAATCGCCTACTACAAGGCGTCTACCCTTGCTACACCAGGACTTAAGTTTACTTAGGATAAAATCATCTGCTACACATTCTGGACTGCGATATACTACAACTAATTCAATATCTTGCCGTCGGCATCTCAACTTACATCTCACCAGTTCACATGTCCCTGAAACATGTGTTACTGTCTCAGCTAATCTTATGGTTAGGGTACTTTTCGTGTACATAATAACCCCGCCTCCCCTACGGTTTAATCTAACAGCCCTACTGGTTATTACTGTTATTATTATTATTATTATTCACAAACATCTTATGGGTACATAAGTATTGTGAAGAAACCATTTCGGGTTTCTTCAAAAAGTGCAATAATACACAATTTTTCTTGCAGGCCAAAGCCAATAGGCCCATAGCCTCCTGAATTAGTTCCTTTTTATCCGTACGACAGAACATACAAAGCCAATGCGAGTTAGGCTTCGAGCATCTTTTGTAAGCCGTCGGACTTAGGCGTGTACACATTTTGTGGTACCACTTTTTACAACCGTCACATTGCATTCCCTCCTCCACGGGGAACAAACAATTTGGTTGCCCACATTTGTAAGTCTTACCAACCATTGTAATTCAGGTAGACATAGATCAACACAAAGATAAATAAAATTATGCCAGACGAGAGACCATTATTATCAAGGGTAACACAGTTCCATGCGTTCAGTCTTTTCAAAGCCAGAAATGACCTTGGGCCACTAAATCTCCAAAGGCGAACACTGATGGCGGGTAAGCAAGATGATTTAAGTGGTTGTACGTTTGAAGTTCATGGTAAAGTTCAAGGTATGGAAGTTTCCTAACAACTTATTCATCATCAGGTGTATTTTTTAGAAAGGTTTGTCACTAGATAGTGTAATCATTTGAACTCAGTATGCGGCTGAATTCGCTAAGGTAAATGGCCTTGTCGGCTGGATTATGAATACTGAAAGTGGTACTGTGGTAGGTGAATTCGAAGGTCCAAGTGTAAGTGTTGATGCATTGTAAGTTTTTTTTCATTTTGACTTCAAGCATATATAATAGTAAACATTGGCTTCGCAACATTGGAAGTCCTAAGTCGCAAATTGACAGGTGCCAGTTCAAGAACGAAAGAAGGATATCTCAGTTACATTTCGAAAATTTTAATATACGTCGCTAGTCCAAACATACTCTTTGGTTCTTTTAAATCCAATAACCAGCAACATATAACCGTCCGCTAGTGAACAACAATTGTTGTTCACTGGACGTGCGTACAAATTTTGATGTATTTAATTAGCGAGACTATAAATTATAGTCTTACCATAAATCTTTTGAATAAAAAGAAAGGTTGTATACGATATGGATGACTGAGAAACTTTAGAACTTTGGACAACAACGTAGCACAGTAAGCGCTTTCTCATAATCGTAGTTCACTGATAAAGAGAAGAAAAAGAACGTAGACCAATGGGAATGATTATCAGGAGAGCTTATATCAATAAAGGCGATAATTAGAAGAGGGAATGAAGTTTTTGGGGGTTTAAAGTTTAATTGCTTTACGGTCCTGAAGCAACCAATAAGGGGGAAAAATGCTAGCTCGAGGGAAATAAGAGACGACCTGCTCATTTATGAATCATTATTTTAGCACATGAACAAGTTCATATACGTCGGTGTTCTGATTGGCGGTTTTGTCACGTGATAGTTGACAGGGACATAAGTTATGACAATACTAATCATATGTTTGACATATCTATGCTTTCGTTCATAATTAGGGAAGTTGTTAGGTGCTGTTACTGGTATTTTATTAAGCATGAATCAAAGATTGGTCGTTTGCGAATATTCATAGCATACGTGAGAAACCTCTTAGTTTGTACTAACATGTAGCCAGCCGTTAAACGTTATGATGAAAAGTTAGGATCACCAGACAAGCCATTGCCTCATCGTATTTAAGTACGAAAATCTCAACATCATGGTTTGCCATCATAATATCGTAGTTTCTAATCCGGAATTCGTTTAAAAAGTATACAGATCAATATTTTAAATCACATATGTTTCTGAGTGCTCAATGTGCGTGGAAAATGCAATTTACGGTGCGAATAGATTGTATGTTCAGCAATAGGGAATTCTAATCAACAGAGTGAAAAGACATTATCTGGACCTCACTACTGTGGAACGCCATTATTAAGCAGATCAACTGGCTTTGTTGTTCAAAATAGATGTATGAAACAACACGATTGAAGGAGTAATAAGAAAATTGTTATGGAATTCGGGGGGTTACAGTGTTTGATGAACGTTTAAAGCACTTTCTTGATTAGTCGTAAAAGCAAACGTATAAACAGTAAATTGATCAAATTTCAAACCCCCATTCCCCCCTTTGCTGCTCGCTCTTTTAATATTGATTTATCCATTGATCGTTATTATTGTGACCCCTTCTGGTAGTTGCTCTTATTATTGTGCACACTTTTGGTCGTGTCTTTATGAATGGATATCGACCGTTATACTAAATAACATGTTTCCTAGTCTCAAAGCGGTATACATATCCCGCAATGATCTAAAGTATGGCTCGTGAAACTCGTTACCCTGTGATGATACTTCCAAATAATCTTATCACTGCTTACAACTAAAGTGAACTATTCTTGTACCTAAGTCTTGCAAATAGTATGTAAGAGGTACAAGCGAGCTACCGCTTACCAATTCAACTAGTATGCAACTCACGAAAAGAAAGGACTGTTTTAAAAAGCTCATATGTAAATGAAGTGGGTGCTGGTTATGCCATTCAGGATGATAATGAAAGCTTTGGAACTAAATTGTCCAGCTTGAGAAACAACAACAAAAGCATCCAACTTGGCTGTGAACCATCGTTCCAATATGAAATAATTGGTTTGTGTAAAAGTTACAGTTCGTTGCAGTGGTTTGATTTCATCACCAGTCCGGATTTAAACTATTCATTAAAAATTGTTAATGGTAAAGGTCCTTAGAACAAAAATCTGTTTTAAACTGACAAAATTGTTATGTCATAATGAGGATTTGGTGATGTACCACTCGTAAAGTTTGCCCCGCTCCGTTAGTTGCATACACGGACAGTCATCTTATTATAAAGTTGGAAACAGCAAAGTGGTTAGCTCGGCAAACTTTGTGTTGAAGGTATCACTTCCCACGACTGGTCAGCGCTTAAATGGGGCTCGGGAACAGCGAACCATCTATATACCAGATTAAATACTTATCCTCCGGTAGGTTTTAGAACATAGGCAATATAATGAGACCCTACTGAGTTATTCCTTGAACAGGCTGTGAAACTCGTCTTTGTCAAGCAACAGGTATCGTAGCAATGTTAATCATTAGATATCTGTCGACTTGGAGCTTTCGACAAATTATCATTAGATTTGGTAACTTCGAGGTTTTCATCAAAGCTCTCTGTACCTCCATTTTGTGTGTAATTTCGGCATACGTACTTCATGTCTATTTCGAGATCAATATCCTATCAGGCGACACACATGGGGCACACGGACAATCCAGACATTGATCTGCAGAAAGTATCAGGATTAAAACTTTACTTCTTTTCTGAGAAACAATTCAATAATGACCTATTTCTGTTTGGTGAAGATTTTAACAAAATACAGCGTCTCAAACGTCTTGGACAACAATGTAGAAATATTGAGTTGGTGAAGATTCGTAGATCAGGTGGGTGGTTTAGGTGAAGTTTTGTTCTCTGAGCTAGGTGGTTTGGTCGTGGAGCTCTCAATGTTCTTCTGACTGACATTACAAACTTCAGGTAGGCTTCTACCTGAAGTAGAAATATCCTTAGGTCTCCATAACTTTCAGTCCGAAACGTTGCATCGGGACTGACCAGCCTCCAAGGAGTAAAGAACTACATAGGTAACAGCTTAAAATCGGTCTGAGTGGCACAAATGCATTTAATTTGCTTCCCTAAAAATTCGGAGTTTCAATTTTATTCTGTACTTTTTATTAATCAGTCACTGCTCCAAAACTATATTCTTTGTGTTTAGTTGCATAATATCATCTACATTACCATTATTTCGACTCCGTTGTGAAGTCGGTCTTTTTTTATCACGGTTCAATAGGAAGATGGTCTCAAATATATCGAGGATCATCCATCCTGAGAAAACACGGTTTCTAACAGTGACTCACCAATAATCGAAATTGGTTAAGTTTTTAAGCGTGTCACCAATCGGGGAAGGAAGTATTTGTGCTCTCTATGGTATTTCTGATATCTCTTAAAGGATCAACTTCGTAATAACATCATGATAAGTAAATACATAGATTAATGTGGACTAATTGATTTGAACCATCACGCTAGCATGGAGCCAGGTGTTAGATACTAGATGGCTGGATGTGTTTTCCTTATTGTTGCAGTTAAGAACTAGTCTCTTATGGAATCGACTAGAAGAATGAAGTTACAAAAAACATGATATCCATTCTCGTGCAATACAGAGCCAGACCTAGTCTTATCAACAGCACTTTGTATTATATATAGGTCAAGATGAGTAAAAATTTAGCTGAGTAACGAAAATAAGTGTTCATATACTAATCTGTGAAATGAATCTATTACATTAATGTTGCTAATATCATGTGGATATTATGCTTTGATGTGTAAAACGATGTTCGGGTCTATGTAACACACGGATTTAGAATCAAGTGCCTAGAAAAGAAAAAAATGCACATATCACAAGTTATTTAGGCTTCACGTTCAAGTAGTTATCAGAGGCGACTGAAGAAGTATCGATTAGTATTCTAGGTTACTTGATACGGCATAATAGTTGAACCATAAATGGATTAGTCAGTGTCAGTCTTGTCATCAGAACTGTTCAAAAATGATATTACAAGAAAGTTAGAATTAGTTGCAGAAACAATGTTCGTTATTAGCTTCCGAAAACATACGTATTAGTTAGATAAATCCGATCGTGGGCGAGCATAATGTCGACCAGAAATGAACAAATAAAACTAAGACTGTACAAATTTCATAAAATAATGATTGACCAGAGAAATAGTTAACAAGAGAAATATTTTCTATTAAAAAAAGAAATGAAAAGGTAGAGAAATAAATTAGGTTTCAACAAAAAAATATGATGGTAAAACCAAGTAGTAAACAATGTTCACAGTTCGTTACAGAAGACACTTTTGCCATCCTTCAGACATACAGAAATAGAGTATGTATTGTTTTCTGAATTCATAGCAAAGATAACATCATAAACCGTCAATTACAAAAACGAATAGAATAGGACTTTCCAACTCGATGAAATAATATATTCAATACTTTTGTTGTGATCAATTGAGGATAGAATGAATGAGTTATTTGAACAGTTTTCAGGTATGCAAACAATTCGTATTTTGCCCCGAAATGATAATAAAACTAATAATTATGAATCAGGATGAGTCTTCATGTCCAACCAAAATAAGGAGGTTTGAATTAGACATTGGATTATCACTTGGCCTACTCTCAACAACGATGTTCCTAGTCGGATAGAAACAAAATCAATATGAAAAAAGTAATAATAAATAAAATATGAAACAGTGGGATGGTTACTGTCTTCGATTCATAGAAGACGTATTGTATATGATTGGTTCAGTTACCAAAAAGGCAAAGACGAATAATGAAATAACTGGTGAAAATCTACACAACTGTTTTCAAACTCTCCCAAATAGTATCAAAACTAATGTTTCTGGATTACCTATTATCATGAAATCTTCCTAAATGCTTGTCAGTAAATGAATTTCTCTCTATATATTAGGATAGTAATATTATCAATGTCAAAAAATTTGGAATGTTTACCAATCATTGGCTTACCGGTCACTTCCTAATAGTCGATATACATGTTTATCGTCATCAATATCTTGTGTAACCTAAAAATCCATTAAAAACATGATGATTACAATATTTTGTACGTCAAATAAAAGAATTTATTAGATATCAGTTATTAATTAGGACTATTGATCTTTTTAGGATGATATTGTGTTTAATAGGTTGAGGCTACTAACCAATAGTTTCTTTTGAGACCATCTAGCTGAACTATCATACGTATTTTCTTCATACTAGTTATCAAGTGTCAATGTGCTTAATTAATTATAAAATACAGATATTTATGAATAACTGCTAGTAATTTGGGTAGCATTGGGCTCAATATATACAGAAACATGGGTAATTTTGTGGAAAATATTTTGTACTTTCTGATGAGGTGATGCACATATTATGGATAATCGAAATACAGACAAATGAATGACAATTTTTAATCACTAAAGTAGTACCTTACTATTTCGGTAGAAGAATGCGTCAGTTTCTATTAAGGAGAAAGATCTTTGTATGCATTGGGTGCGTAATATTAACGATGTTCCTAAACAGGATTTATTGGAGCATGTATGTAATATAAGTTCACTAGAAAAATAATGCAACAGATCTTCATAGTTTTATGGAGACTGTTCAGTTTATAGTTCAATTATAAAATGGTTTTAACTAGACACCCATTTAAACCAGGTCGTTTTGTTCAAGCTCCGCAGTTAACCAAATAAATAAGACAGTATTGCGGTCTAATAGATTAAACAGACGATATACAACAGTTCGCACCCAATCAGATAGTAGTAGCGATACACCCTCACACACTGTAGGTAAATGTGGGAAAATCCCGACCGAAGCTGCTCCCTTGACGCGGTGGTCGGGCTTGCCTATCGTGATGACCCAACCGAGCTATATTGGCTGGAACATATGTTCCTGTAGGTTCTACCATGCCAGGCAGGTCGATTGGAGAACGGTAAGACTAAAAGCAGCAACTCAAGGTCTGAGGGCGAAGTCGTACTGCTGACTGTAGAGGGGTGTGACAGCAGTAAGGTGTTTCCCTCGGACAACCAGCATGACAGCGATGCTGCCTTCCCACAAGGAGGGGTGGGGTTAGAAAAGGTCGACCCTAAAAACGTCACACTTCACCGTCTCCGGCGGTAAGGCCCTTTGAAGAACGGAGCTAACACGTCAAAAACCTTCCACAAAAAGGCCGTGCGCGACCGGCCTCAAGCAGTTGTCCCTTGGGCTCTGCGGTCACGCTCCCAGGTCGTTAAGACCAACACTAATCCAATTTCCTTTTCAGGTTCCTCAAGAAATACCCTTCCACGGTGTGGGCAGCCGGGAAGTGACATCAGCCCTCATACCCGTAACAGCACACGAGACCAAGTTGGTCACATTCAAATCCTTCCTACACCTCCTAATACCTCTCTTATCTCCATGACTAACCCTCCTCACGTCTCTTTATCACCTCGCACCGCTAGGGCAAACGATTCGAGTACGCGGAACGCTATTCCTGGTCTCCTGAAACCACGCTCTAAACTACACGTAGGAGCTTTTAACGTACGAACACTTTGCCAAATAGGACAACAGGCTTCCTTAGCTAGGACTTTAGAATCTCGCGCCATCGATGTGTGCTGCGTCTCCGAAACGCGCATACAGGATCCGAGTAGCGTCATTCATTTGACCTCACCATGCCAAAATAAAGAACCGACTCGATTCACACTTCGTGTATCTGGAAGCCCTGATTCTGCTTCCCGTGGCCTCGCCGGCGTAGGTATAGCATTGAGTCCTAGGGCAGAACTAGCTCTCTTAGAGTGGATCCCAGTAGACAGTCGTTTGTGCGCTGTCCGACTGAACGGAACAGTAAGAATCCGGAAAGATAGGGACACTCGTCGTTGCCTCTTCGTCGTCTCTGCCTATTCTCCCACTGACTGCAGCTCAGATGATGTAAAAGATGAGTTTTACAGAAAGCTTTCCGACCTTCTCCGAAAAGCTAGGCGCTCGGATGTAGTAATAGTGGCCGGTGACTTTAATGCTCAAGTAGGTAAACTAAGCGATAGGGAAAGACACCTAGGTGGATCTTATGGTGTCGTGGCTCAAAGAACAGATAATGGCGACCGTCTGTTGCAGCTATGCTCAGATAACCGCCTGTTCCTTGCAAATACTAACTTTAAGCATAAGGAAAAACATCTTTTAACATGGCGACCCCCTAATTCGTCCCAACGTTGGACCCAAATAGATCACATCGCTATCAGCCACCGATGGAGGGGCTCGATAGAAGACTGTCGCTCATTCTGGAGCACATGCTTAGATTCAGATCATGCTCTAGTGCGAGCGCGTATTTGCTTGCGTCTTACTGGACGTAGGAAAGACGCTGCAAGGAAACCTCTTAGGGCCTACTTAATGATAGTCAAGCTAAGAGTATATTTCAGGAACAACTAGGAAAACAGTTAGGCAGCCATGTATGTGATGCCCACCCCGAGGCAGCATGGAATGATATCCGAAAAGCTGTGGAAACAGCAGTGATATCTGCTAGTAAGGTAAACCAGAAGGTTAGGGAGCAACACTGGATCTCAGCAGCATCTATCGCACTGATAGATGCTCGGAAACTCATTCCACCTGGCTCTGAACATAATGAAGAGCGGAGTCAGCTTAAGCGCAAGCTGACAAGAAGTCTACGCAATGATCGCGAACAGTGGTGGGTAGCGAAAGCAAGAGAGATGGAAAAGGCAGCGGCAATAGGTAATAGCAGACAATTGTTCAGACTCGTTAAGGAAACCGGAATTAGGAACCCGACCGTTAGCGAAACAATCTCAGAGAAAGATGGACATATTATTCATTCTCAATCCAGGAGATTGGATCGATGGGCAGAACACTTTAGGGATCAGTTCAACTGGCCTTCAGCCACACTTCGGTTTCCCACGATCTCCAGTCAACCTGAATGGCAAGTTAATGTAGGTCCTCCGTCTTTTACGAAGTTGAAAAAGCCATAGGAAATCTGAAACGAGGGAGAGCAGCAGGCCCTGACAGGTTTACTCCTGAGATTTTTAAGGATGGTGGTCCAGTATTAGCAATGAGATTAACTGAGGTCTTAGGTAGAATTTGGGAACTGGACGTAATCCCATCTGACTGGTCTCAATCACTGATTGTGCCAGTCTATAAGAAAGGACAAAAGTCCTCTTGTGACAATCACATTCGATCGTAGGTGTCTTCGAAATATTGCTCGTATATCCTGGGACCATCGAGTAAGTAATGCAGTTGTTAGGAAACTGGTACTAGGTAAGGATGGGAAATCAATTGACGAAGTAGTGAAACTTCATCAGTTGAGATGGCTTGGACACGTGTTACGTATGCCCAACGACCGACTGCCTCGACGTGCTATGTTCAGTGGTATAGGAGTAGGTTGGAAGAAAGCTAGGGGCGGCCAGACCAAAACATGACACAAGTCCATGAAGTCACTGACAAGTGGACTGAGTCATGTTGGTAGGTGTAGACTACCTGGTTGGGGACCGCGAGATGATAGCAACCGATGGTTAGAGACCCTGAATGACATGGCTCAAAATCGTTTGCAATGGCGCAGGTGCATACACTCTTTGTGTTCTCCCAAATTTTGATCTCCTTGTTCCTCCTTGTCTCTTTTTTCTCTTCCCAAATTTATTTCACTGTATTATACTCTTTGAATAACATCTCCAAACACTAATCTTCACGATTACTGCTTATACTCTTATTACCTCTACCACTACGGGATTTGAATCGACCACTGCATCTCTGTGCTAATGTGGTATGGCAACTCGAACTGATGTACGTACGTACGAAGTTCTACGCAGTTACTGACTGACTGAATGTGAGAAAATCTAGTACATAAGCTTGTAAGTGACCGTTGAGTTACATTATCACATCTCTTGCCCAAAATGAAAAGGCTATCACGACTAATAAACAAATTAAACTTAGGGAACAATATTATCATTAAATTTCTTACTATACTTGAGTCGCCCATAAACATTTAAGTCAATCTCCGTATAATAATCTATAACCAATTACTGCCACTGAGACTATCTTTAAACTATCACATCATGAATAAAATATTTTTGCTTAAGAATTTGCGGAAATTAATTATTATTAGATCTAAAGAGTAGAAATACTTACCCTACCGAAGAAATCGATACCCCTCAAACCATGTGTATGAAAAGCGAGTACACTGTCGTGCAATCGAACTATTAAACAAAATGAAATAAATATGCGTTTGAAATAAAACTTAGAGAATCACATAAAGTGAGTCTTTTATTCACACACAATTTGTTTTCTTAAAGGAAATTAGTTCTTAACAAAAGTAGGAACTAGGATACTTTTAACATATGCCTTTTCTTTTAACAACTAAAACTATCTAGTAAACATCTAATTCAAGTTGAAAATACTAATTTCATTTTGTTCAAACCTCTAATTTTGTTGAATGTGAAACATTAGTGACTGTAGATATTTTCAAGAATAAAAAGACTTAATTTTATGTATGGAACAAGAATTACTCTGTCGATTAACAACAAAAATACTAAACAGAAATATTACTGTCTAAATGTATATACAATTGAATTAAATGATATGTTTACGAATCATCATTACAAGATTCTATAAAAAAAACACAGAGTAACAGAAAACCTGGATTCATTATCATAATAATTATGAAGTGGTTTTGTAGGGATTTTATGGGGTAATTTTGATAAATAATTAATATCACTTGGAGCATCATCTACTGCTACTAGGAAATGCTGGTTAACTAACTGTATCATTCTAATTTAGGACGAGCTAATTAATAGTGCACACTGTGAACCTGACGTGAAAGATATAAGTGGGCATTTCCAGGTAGTGTTGGGTACACAATACGTCTAGACTAATAATTAGGATTGAATAGTTTCGTATTAACAACTTCAATCAATCTGTAGCATAGCATAATACTCTTCTGATGTACTTGATGAGTTAAAGCCTCATTCTTAAAATTACTGTTAATTATGACTTTTAATTAGACTTTAGAAAAATCCATTTGAAAGCCTATTACAACTAAGCCTGCAATTATGAATTAATTCAGTGTTTTTAATAATTATCTATTTAGTTGAATTTAGTTATCGTCACGAACCGATATCAAGTGAAGAAATGTTGTATACTACTACGAGCACTGAACAATTGATTACAATCATTTTCCAGTTAATATCAATTCATGACACAAATAAAAAACTATCTTCGATTTGAACTAGTCTCTTAATAACCCATTCAACTTAATTGAGGATAATTCTGTGAAATCATAAACAAATTTGTAAACTGTTACGATCACATTACAAAACAAGATATGATGATAAATTTAAATATACCAATGGATTAAGTAAAAAAAAGTGCCTTCAGAATATTCAACAGTTCATAATCAAGAATTAAATATTACAATGAAACAAGTGTTCAGTTGTCTATAACAAACTAGAGCAAGATAAATAGAGCGTAAAATAACATCGAGTATAATTTGTAAATGATGTTAATTATTAATTTTTAATAAGGGGAAATACGAGTCAAAATATCAAAATAATAAGTCAAAATATCTTAACTATGGATGGGAATAGATTGGAGTGTTTGATTTGACACTAAAATGTACAAACTCATCAAAATTATAAAAAAAACAAACAGATTACGCTTAGGGCACAAGATGCACCAGCAAACGTTTGTGAGCTCATTAACTGTAACGCCGTTAAGCTTTGAGGTATCGATTGTCAATATTCTGTTATTTAATGTCATAAACATATGGTTTTAAATATAATAGAATATATTTGAAGTGGAAAGTACACTTCAAAGTGATAGTTGTCTACTTTTGTCGACGGATTTGAGCTAAATAAATGATACATTTGTTGGACTATATCAATGCAAAGTTGTAGGTTATTCAAAACATCAACTATAAGGAGAGCTCTAGGGAGTACGTTTTAATAATATCTTAAATAGAGACTACATTAGCTTTATATAACAAATTCAATCAGTTATGTAACTGAAAATAAGAACATACTCATAACGCGTTTTCAAAAAGATTCACCTCTTAATGAGTTCAGTGTCTGACAGGTTATTTCAATCTTTCAAACAACAGCACGATCCATTCTGTGTTGTCATACTTAATAGATTTTCTGAACCCACAGTGGTGGGAGTGGATACGTTACGTGGTACAAATGTCACATTATGTAAACCGAAATATGATGTTAGCTAAAGTGAGTTTACTTTGGAAAATTGCTGTCGATGACGAAATCAAGACATGATACAAATCCATGAAGTCTTTAACAACTAGTCTATTTCATGCATGGATACTTAGACTTCCCGGATCAGTTCTTTAGGACGACAGAAAAACTTCTAAAAAGGTAGAATAAAGTGATAGTTTGCTTGATCCAATAGTGTCACATTATTTATTCAAAGAAATATTTATGTTTTCATTTACAGAATTACAGTTATGAAGAAATCGAAAAAAAACTAAATACACAAAACAATGATATTCAAGCTTACCAATAGAGTCAACTGTTGTATCGAATGGGAATTTGGCTATTCGCCCATCTCTACTAACTAGTACACGTCCATTCATATTCACCATTGTGGCGTGTGCTAATCAAGAATAAATTAAAATACGGTAAACATTGAAACATCAACAGACAGAGAAAAAATTTATTACTGAACGGAAAATTATACTACAAGAATAACATGACCACTGAAAAAAATTTAATCCAATGATAAATGAAAGCCATTCCAAGAAATAATAAAAGGTAAAATTCAAATACAGTTTTATTCAGCAAACAACATCAGACAAAAATAATTCTATATCATGAAATGAGTGATATTAGAAAAATACGGACTATTTATATTGTAGCTTAATAGTCTGACAAAAATATAGTACTGCTAGCCAAATGAAATAAATGTCTTGAGTTTTAACTCATGTGAAACCATAGACATGTACACCTACGAACCGATTCATGACTACGGTGAAACATATATTCAGTGCTTTCTACTTTATAATTATTCTTATGTCGATCTCAATTAAACACATGATTAAAACAATCTTTACACATTATCTAAAATTAAAAAAAACAGCAACATTAACTATTTTAGTTTTTAATATTCATTTCAGGTAGAATAAAATATTATACGCAGAGGTGGATGGTGGCTAGCAGTAAAATCCAGGATGCACGTTCCATCCTATTTGAGACTTGTCAGATGGATCTGCCTGCATCCAAGAGTTCATGTCTACTCCGGGACTCGGATCTATTACCGTTCGCTTCAAACGCTATCGCATCCTAATATTCAACGGGAATATTCAAACAACCAATACAAATAAATAATAATGGTAGTTAACTAGTTGACTTACTGGGAAAACAAATTAACAACGAACGTGTATCAAGCTGTACAACTTTAATCACTTGCAACTGATCTTCAACTGAAATCAAAACCAAACATATAGGGAATATATTTTGAGACTAAAAACAAGATAAGTGGACAAATGCACATCATCAATAGTATGCATACAGTTATTTCAATGGAATGTAGCAATACGATAAATATGTAAAAACATCAACAGACGAAGTTCATTTATCAAATATAGTTATATATAATTAGCTTTGAGGTTTAGTTCTCGTATGAGTTAATTATACTAATTGGCCACCCGTAAAATTAAAGTAGATGGAGCGGTAGAGCAGGTCTCCTTGGAAAAAAATGTATAAGGACTGAATTGATAGTTTACAGTGGTATAACATATGTTATTTTGGTTATTTGGTGAAGCTCACTATTAGAGTTTACATGTAGCCTCTTGAGTGTATATTTTATTGTGGTCGGATTAAAGAACTCAGTTATCATTTACTTTATTATCAATGACAACTTCATAAAATAAAAGATATCTATCAATATTGATGAACAGTTTAAACCCATTTGATTTAATACTACGAAGACCATCATCAACAATTAGACAAACAATGTATATGTAAATATTGTGTTAAATGACTGGTTCAACTGGGTCTACGGTTATTTCTTATTGCAAACAATTGAAATTGTTCTAACACGAACGGAAGCTAATGCAAACTCAATGATACAACAAGTGGCACACAAAACTTCATCAATAATCCCCATACGACAGAATCCAAAAAAGAAGTGCAGAAAAATCTTGAAATTTGGCGAAGATAGGACTAAAGTAGAACAACTCTGTATATATAGTAGCAAAACATGAATTTAAAAACACAGGGAAATTAGTCAAGTAACAATCAGTCTAAAAAAGCAAACGTTGTGGGGAAATATGAACTTTTATTAGCGTTACAGGAAAAAATCAACATCTATTAACACAAGCTAAATAACTTGAGGTCATTGCAGCAGCAATAATCATATGAAAATAAATTATTGTAAATCCCGATGCATACAAAACTCCCTCTGAAAATACAACAGAAATACTATAGCATATACTTGAAAATTATATTTGAAATAATCTCAGCGATAGAAATTTAAATAATTCCAACGTTTCGTCGAGCTAACTTGTCTGGACTTCTTCAGGGTAATAATCAACTTACGAAATCCTAACTAATTACTAATATGCCAAGTTTAGAACTCCTATATCAATGACCCAAAGTTATAATACATTACAAGCCGACAGTAATATTTTCCATCAATACGAGTGGTTGACAAAAACACTTCATTGATGACTATTTTTCTCATATAATACAAACTTGACAAACAAAATAGAAGTTGGAATATTTGTATCTAAGTGAAGTAAGAATAGTTTTGACTTATTACAAGATAGCTAACATCAGAGTAAATGTAAAATTACAGACAACGTAATAGCAAAACAAATTGGTTACTAAGAATTTCACATTTCATTTTAACATTTACAAAATTTAAATAACTTCCTTCAATCACTTAGTCGAGGTAACAAGAGTTTATTATTGAAACAAATGTCGTAAAAGAACAACGTATGTGTTATTAATCTCTTTCTTATGGTTATGACCCAGCTATTCCTATTGCTTAGTATTCTCGGACACCGATTCACTCGACAAGTCCCCAAATCAGAACACGGTTGAACAGGAAGGAGGTTATATTCCAAATAACAAGGTTAGATGAAAGTAAGAAGCAAGTCAGAAGCACGATAGAGAAAACGTCAGTATATTTATAGCTTTTACATGAGAAGATCCTAGAGTATTCTTCAACTATCGACTAGTGCTGATTGGATAAGAACTAGCCAATCAGCGTGCACCAAAGCAATCGTGAATTGAGCATGCTTTAATCCGGTCTATGTCCCGCTAGCAGTATGTCATCTAAGCGATTCAGTTTGATGCGTTCAATTTATTTAGGCATACCAGTAATAAGTTCGACCATAGTCGATTACTGTATTATGGTTAGGAAGACTAGTAGTTCGTAAGATGTGGTTCTTTTTAGTTGTCGGGATAATCAAACTGACATTCAACAAACAGATTTAAATATAGTTAAACCATGTACACAATTGTTAAACATAGAAAAATGATCAGTTCTAAATGCTCACAGAGACAACAAGTTAGGGATGGTTTAAATTACATTAGAATTCTTGTGACGATGGATTAGTGATTAGATTAAAATTAACCATACAGTACCAATCATGAAAACTCCCAAAGTTGATTTGTTTAACTCAGACAGAAAATGATGAAATCATTGAAAACTACATATTTGTCCACATATGCAGACAAACTAGATAACGAAATCATATGATTCCTCTAGCACAAATACCATAGAACTATAATGCCATTTATTACAAAATGTTAAGCATCACATGCATGTTGATATTATGATTTTGTATTTTTATGTAATAAGTTAACCCATCCATAAACCCTCTGTTACCCCGTGTTCAATTTCACCAGTTATGATCAATACTTTAAAACTAGGTGGGACTGTATTTAAACCGTGTTAAAATCAAATTAATCATCATAACTAATAAATTATTATAACTAGAAATAATAAAAATAACAAATGGATTGTCACTACTATTATTATTAGCGCTGAAAATGAAGTTGTTGAAAACTACTGAGTGTAAGTGATTGACTGAATTCAAACTGCAATATTCAACCAGTTATGTGTATACATTTATACATGGGATATGCAACACATAAATGGGCATGTGCAACATAAAAATAAATAGATAGGTACACAGAGAATGAAAAACTAATCGATACAAACTAAGTGATCATTTGTGTGGTCATAGCGATAGACTTTAACAACAGACAGTAGTAACGTATACATGTGGTGTTACATAAAACATTTTTCACAAAAAAATCTAGCACACGAAAATTAGGTTTATATTTTACAGTAAACGGCGTCTAGCCAAGAATAAAACTTAAAGGTAGCTAGGAGAACTTATCGGATTTCTAGTTTAATGAAACAATGAAGAATTTCGCTGAAAAAATGTTGCAATGCACACATTCCGTTACATGAAATACTACTTATATATACATTGACTGAAAATGAAATTCTTTTGTGTTCGCTAAATTGTTTCTAAGAAACGATGTACACAGAGGTAACAGTTATACAAATAATAATGATTCAACCGTTGTCGATGATTAACATTTAGAGTAATGATAGTTCAATGAAGTATGCTACTTATGAAAAATTTAAGTAGCTTGTATTGTTAAAACGATTGACCAACTTTTCTGTTTGAATATTTTACATGTAATTAACGATTTCGATTTCCTTCATAAAAAAATCAATCAATTGGTGAGTGATAATTTCTTTCAAAAAATATTCAGTTGAAGACTGATAATCATTAATTATAACTAATGGCATAAGAATTATTATCAAACAAAGTATATTCAGGTATTAAATGTGAGCACGATACCAACAACCAAATGAGTCGAAAGTCAATAAAAATAGTTCTCAATATTAATCAATGTTGAAAAACTACTCACCCTCCTCAAATACCTGACGTGCTGAGAATTCAAAAGTCATAGATTCCTATTACTGAATTTTTACCCCATAGTCTAAAGATATGATGATCATTGAAATAATTTGGAGCGATAGTTTCGATCTGGCGTCTGTGCACTTTTACAGAATTTCAATATAGAATGGAACACATATCCAATGATCTATACTTTCTAATAATTCTATCAGTCAAGTCAATTTGTGTGACAGGAATTAATTTAAAATCTTGATTTACCTTTAAACACTATTAACTATTATTATAATCCTACCCAATAATATAAGTTATAAAAGTTCTATTTTATAAGATTTAGAATGTATAATTTTAATGTCTTTCAAAATACTTCTCTACATTTGCGATTGTACATTCGTCCCATTGCTCAAAATGTCAAAGGTTCAGCTTCCCAAATACTTTGTTGTCTCATGTGTTGCTAGATTTGTGAGGACATAAGTTATTTTCAGATTCTGAATGTACGCAATTATCCAGACAGTGTATAAGGATTCGGAAAACACAAAGGGCCGAATACATTCGACTTTTTCACCAGTCTATGAGTTCGATATACACTACAGTTGTACTTCAATAGAATGTGCAAAGGACTACACAAATAATTGTTATTCATGTGTCATTAATAAAAAGTTTTTCTTAGTTTACCAATCATATCATTTGTTTAAATAATAAAAAAAACCAATGTGTTTATTGAAATTGTTGACTGAATGTCAAATTTAAAGTTTGTAAACATTTTTATTATAAACGATCAGTATTTATTATTTTGTTCATATTACCGCATAACCTAGTAGACAATATCATTTCAGATCAATAAAACAAAACTTAACTGATTGATTTTTATTCAATTACATATGATCTTTCTAAAAACGGTCTTAGGTTTAATGTAAAAATTCTGTGTTGTGTGTACTAATAAAAAAAGACAACTATCAATAGCAAAAATTGAATAGTACGCTAAATTTATACATTGGGATCGTCATCTCTCACGAACATGAAAGCATTGTTCATGTTCAGTGCAAATCAACTTTTTCAAACATACTTTTATCATGTTAAGTGTTGCTTTTTAAAATTGTCCTCAAAATAAAATAGAAAATCAATGTCATTTATGAATTACTGAATGAGTATGATGAAGGAGAAAGAAAGAGAAGAAATATCGCTATATAATTTGCATACTTTGTGTACTTCTCTCGGTGTGTTCACACACATGTCGGTTCGAATGAAAGTTAAGGTGAATTTATCTAAATTCCAGTTCATATATATATATATATATATATATATATATATATATATATATATATATATATATATAACGCGAGACAAAATCACTACTTTCGTTGTAAAGCAGTAATTAAATAAATAAATAAACGACTATATATGTACCTTGTTTAATTAATTGCTCAACCATTAAGAGTAACTAAAATTATCAATTGTCATATATAAGAACAGAAAAATTACAAATTGATATATTCATAAAGTAGATAAATTAACGAAAGTAACTATAATATATGAGGACGATGCTGAGCAATTCTTAAGATTACCAGTTTGATCTTGAAGTCATGCTTTAGCGAACGAGTCGAAAATCTGTATAAATTAAAAATATTTTGTAATAAAAGTACTGAGATCTGTGACGGTATAGTGGTCTCGAGTTTATTGGGTTTCTTAAAGGATTATTATTAGTTTTCCAACCACGTGGAAGTATATGACCTCATCTATTCAAGCCAAAGGTTGTTTTCTGAATCATTTTTGTAACTATAGATTATCTAGTAGAAAAAATACCGTCTCGTACCAGATCCATCTATCAATGAAGGGACGAGTATACTGCGCGGCAGTTCGTTCTGTCCTACTTTACGGCTGCGAAACGTGGTCATTAAGAGTAGAAGATACTCGTAAGCTACTAGTATTTGACTACAGATGCCTTAGAAATATTGCTCGCATCTACTGAGATCACCGGGTAAGTGATAGTGAGGTTCGACGCAAGGTATTAGGGAATGATGGTAAACCAGTTGATAAGGTTGTGAATCTTCATCGAATGAGATGGTTGGGTCACCTGTTACGAATGCCTGGACATTGATTACCACGACGCACAATGCTGACTAGTGTTGGGAATGGTTGGAAGAAAGTTAGGGGCGGCCAAGCCAAAACGTGGCATCAGTGCTTGAATTCACTAACTTCTGGTATGAATCATGTTGGTAGATGCAGACTACTTGGTTGGGGTCTGCATGACTATCGTAACCAATGGTTGGAGACTCTTGGTGACATGGCTCAGAATCGATCACAATGGCGTCGGTGTATACACTCTTTGTCTTCCTTTAAACTATGAGATTAAAATCACTTCATATCTTTCTTTCTACGAACTAATTCTTTCTTCCTGTATTATATCCTTATATGCAATCTTTCCTTTATATATTACATTATTGAGTTAACTGCTTCTATGAATCTGGTGTTCATCTTGCTATGCTAATGAGATGTGGCAACTTGGACCGATGCATGTATATGCCTGGTCCTACGTTGTAACTGACTGACTGACCAGATCTTTGCTAAGGAATGCTCTAAAATTTAGCGAGATGAAGTTATAAGACAACAATATGGAGAAACCGTGTGTGATAAACGTTATTTATTTTAGCATTCCTACTTCATAGCCTGTTAACTATTCAGTAAACCAATAATAAAGTGACTGATCGGAGTTGCAGTAAAGAAAGTAAATTGAAACAGAAACTCCTTGGTTCACGTGTTATATATAATTTAAGTAAAAGAATTAAGCATTTGATTCTTTCAACATCATCCTTTTCACTGTGGGGTAACTAAAAAGAAATTCTCCAAATATTTCTAAGAATTTTGAGCCATAAACAAATACGCTTCTATAGGGAATTTGACATGATATGAGATAAATGTCATTCATTTTTGAATTTCGTGGAAAAAATAGAAAACACTCTACTCGGTTCTGATTAACTCGTCCCTGAGCTATAATTTAACCGACTTATGAATCGATTAAGATTTCCCTCAAGAGAAAAAACAGAGATGTACATGAAAAAAGCGAGGGAAATGGTGGAAATGATAGCTTGTTCACAATATATATATATATATATATATATATATATATATATATATATATATATATATATATATATATATATATATATATATCCACAGAAAAATATAAAAACAACACAGCTTCCACTCCAAACCATTTAATTGTCACTGATTTCTTAACTATTCCATACTGTAATATAAGGGTAATGTGTAGCATATATCTAAACTTGGTGAAACAGTATATGTTTAAAAATTCATAAAAAACCGTAAGAACTCATATTTCTCTACTATGCCAGGTATAAAGGTATTAGTTAAATGTAGTTGTATGATGTGAATGATATACATGATTTCAATTAAGTAAATCTTTCTCATATTTATAATATAAAACTTACATCGGCAAGGATTTGTATACCATGATGAATTTGAATTTTCATTTAAATTTACAAGATGCAATTTATAGACAAGTGGATCTGGGGTAGATGATACACCTAAGCATACTGTAGGCAAAGTTTGATTTGGATTAATTATTAAATCGAAATTAAGCAATGGATTAGGCATACATGGTACTTCAACCTGAATAATAATTTTTTGGAAATAAAGCAACAATAATTAGATAAAATATTATAAAAAAAAACATGTGAATAATATGTGCAAATTTATTGGGTGAGTTAAATCCTCAAACATAATATATTAGGAAGAAATCAATTTTAGACATCACATGTTGGTTCGTGGTGATTTTCGTGTGTTTGAAATACAGATTATGTCAAAGAAGACTTTCTGCTGGGGCAGCAGCTTAAATTGACAGGCATAATTTATTATACCTACACCTATCGATAGCATTGCAAAGCTCGAGTACCAACTAGACTCTAATGATACATCTAATACATAGTTCGGACGATAGGAAGATTTTTAAAATTTGACTTGGTGGACGAGGATGATGCACGGAGGACTCAACTGCTGCTTTGAAAACTGGATCCGACCGAATAAGATAAATATTGTAAACTAATCTTAACTCAGAAGCCATGTGATCGCACATTTAATGATATCATGCTAGCAGTTTGGAGATAAGTAATTATTTCATAACCGGTACAGATGTTTGAGTGTGGTAATAAGTGATATTGCTAATGAATATTCGGTTTTGAACACGATACCATCCTATTTCATTCGGGAAGCAAAAGCAATTCTAAAGTCCAAACAATCCGTCAGACACAAATCATGTGGTACCTCTAATTTGACTTTACCATACCTAGTCCATAACATTTGATTCTATTGCCGTGAACATAAAGAAGCCAATATCACCGTACTGGTAGAGTGAAGAGTGGTATTTAGTCAGAATCTGCCTCCATAGACAAAATCGTTGCCATTAGTGCAAATGTGTTGATCACCGAGATGGGTGTTGACACCCAGTACACTCTCGATTCTAGTTTTGACGTAAAAAAGTCCATATTCAAACCTGTAGGAAGCTTCTTAATTTTGTTTGAGACATGTCAAATCACAGCCTACAGACAAGAGGAATTTTCATACAGTGAATATCAACGAGTAGTCACCTCGGTTGCAGCTATAGACATTATCATCACATCACCAAAGCGTTGGAACGTACGCAAATTCCAGAGTAGACTGTTCGAACGACTTGCTGGGGTGATTACAGTGTACTATACGCTTCCGGGAAAACATGTTCACAGAAGTGTACTACTTAACATAAGCTGATCTAAACTTACTCGGAAACAATTGGTTTGATTGACCGAAGTTATCCGATATGCTCTTAGGTACTGTATGTAATCTAATGAAACAACCTTGTAAATCAGAGGGTTATCCTATCATCGAAGAGGAAACAATTACAGGAGTGCTTTCCATAGAAGACTACCTAGAGTGTCATTTGTCAAATAGTGTTCGACATTCACTAACGTCGGCTACAGACATACAATCCGAATACAGCAACGACTCGTTAGTCCAGGAGTTCAGATTTGTCAAAAATGTACGGCCACCGAATCGTCTTAATGTAGAGCTAAAGAAACTCCTTAACCAACGTAAACCATTATGTATTGCGGATAACCGTTCTCTTTGTGGTGACACAAAAAATAAATAAAGCTCTCTAGTTACTGACAGATAATTTTTTTTATTGGAGTGGGGTTAGACGTGTTACAATTTATCTACAACCAATTTTTTCTGGAGAAAACTCATCACACAGATCCGTTCATCGCTATAACATCCTCAGCCAACTAAACCAGTAGAGAAAATTGTGGACACATTCAAAAGGAGCTCTTGAAACCGAAGGGGGACAGAAAGTCAGCTGAGATACTGCACAACCTTTTACTTATGTACGGGACAATATTCAAAGAATCACTTTCGAGTCGAAAATCAACAGTAGAAAATCTAATAGGTGGTGAATTGAGATATTATCAAAAGGATTAGCTGTGAGAAAGTGGTCAACATCGGATCTCCTGTATGTCTGAGATTACAGACTAAAACATGACAGAATGGTCAATAACTGGGAGACGGGGTTAGATAATATATTAGGTGGCGGTTAGAAGGGAAAAATGGAAAAGGTATCTTAATCAGTTACGATGATGCGTAGTGGGGAAGCGTACGATACCAACAAGCAACTTACAGATGGAGATACTAACAGACACTTTCAGTCTACCACAGTAGAACAACAAAGTAGAAATAAGTATAGAAATGGCACAGCTAGGGCAACTAGACCTACGTCGCTGATGGCTAAACATACGAGGGCGGTGAACGGTTCAATTTTAAGTGGACCCACGACAATCACTATATTAAAGAAGAGTGTTAGGGATATTAAGTAGTCATGCACAACACATTAGGAAGTAATCAGTATTGCAAATCACATATTGATTAAAGCAGTTTTAATTTATTTATTTTCAGTGCACTTTGATTATACCAACTGATTCCATGTGAATTACATTGATTTGACCTACAGTGCACTTTCATTAATTCACTATGATTTTTTGGTAAGGTGACATTTATTCAGTTCGACAAGTTTTCTAACTAATAATCACTGAAAGCAATCATTATTTAATTGAGTGGTGTTGAACATGAATCATTCTTCTTCGGTACCTATCAGTAAAACTTTTAGACAAGCTAGAACTTCTGTCTTTAGTGGACGGGGAAGGAAGAAGTGGGTAAGCAGTGGTCATATTTCATCACCATTTAACATGGAGTCGCTAACTGGTAGCATAGCTCACAAACGTATTACATAGATTTATCAAAAAGTAATAGCCAATGGTCATGTTGCCTAGGTATGTCGATAAACTTGATGATTGATGGCAGTCACCAAGGCATCCTGAGGATTCACGTTTCGTGCTAATTGGCAACCGTCAGTAAGAAATATATATGGAATTCCGAGAAAATGGATCTTTTTCATTAGCATTATGAGAAATGTATCAATGCGATAGGAAGACATCAATTTATCTAGCTATTTCCTTTTATTAATAATTCTAAGTTCTGGTGGATGAGGAAGTCAACGATAACCTACTTCGGTAACACAGTAACTACGCAAATATCCGTTATTCTCTGATTAGATTTTTCCAGATCAAGTTTGGTATCTTATGTTTCCAAGGTCATCGTTGATATTGTATAAGCAGATCTATAGCATTATCTTTTTAACTTCGCCTGGAATAGAAAAGTCTTGCTGCTATACACCACCTTTTCTCTTATCACCATGATAAGGAAAATACTATTGAAGTGCTGTTAATTATGTAACGGGAGCACCATGTTATGCATAAAGAAAAGCGGGGAATTTGTTCTAGATTTTAATCAGATGGTAGTAAGATATTCCGAATTCAATATTGAAAATAATAATTGTAATGCATTAAAAAAATAACACTACCTAAAAGTACTGACTATGAATCTTTACAAATACATGGATTAATGCTAATTCTTCTTCCAAAGTGCTTACAATTAATAGTTACCAATTAAAAATTTTTTAACAATAATTTTTTGTTTTTCATTTGGTTTTATTTAATATACTAACTAGTTATTTTGCAGATATATTGTATTTCTTAAAACAATCACAAAATTTGTCAAAAAAATCGAAACCATGATCTTCAGGGGTTTATAAGTTGATATCAGTCTGTGACGAAAACTATCATCAAATCATTAAATTGTTTGAAGTTGGTTAAAATAGAGAGATTAACTAAAACTTTCTATAGGTTATTTTAAAGACAAGTATTGTAAACAATCAGCTCACAAGCTTAAGCTAAGAATATATTTCAGGAACAACTAGGAAAACAGTTAGGCACCCTTGTATGTGATGCCCAACCTGAGGCAGCATTTAATGATATCCGGAAAGCTGTGGAAACAGTAGTGATATCTGCTAGTAAGGTTAGGGAGAAATACTGGATCTCAGCAGCATCTATCGCACCGATAGATGCTCGGAAACTCATTCCACCTGGCTCTGAACATAATGAAGAGCGGAGTCAGCTTAAGCGCAGGCTAATAAGAATCCAACGCAATGACCGTGAACAGTGGTGGGTAGAGCTTATGACGAACTGTCATCAGAATTGATTACCTCAAGTGGTGTTCGTCAGGGCTGTCCACTCTCCCCATTCTTGTTCAACTTTGTCATTGACGTACTTTTAGAGATAACACTCTCCTCATCTAAATTTACAAGGGTTGAACTTCTACCAGGAGGTTCACTTGTTGACTTAGAATATGCCGATGACATAGTTCTATTTGGTGAAGACGCTGACAAAATGCAGAGTCTTCTGACCACTCTAAGCAACAATGCAAGCATGTTCGGGATGCGATTCTCCCCTCGAAATGCAAAATGTTGCTTCAGGATTGGGTTGCATTGACACCCGAACTAGTGATAGGGAGTGAAGTAATTGAGCGTGTCGACCGCTTCTCTTATCTTGGAAGTCTCATCAGCCCTTGTGGTCTGGTGTGTGACGAAATCTCAGCACAGATACAGAAGGCTCGACTAGCTTTTGCCAACTTGCGTCATTTGTGGCGTAGGCGAGATATCCGTCTATCAACCAAAGGACGGGTTTACTGCACAGCAGTTCGTTCCGTCCTACTTTATGGTAGTGAAATATGGCCGGTAAGAGTAGAGGATATTCGTAGGTTACTAGTATTTGATCATAGGTGTCTTCGAAACATTGCTCGTATATCCTGGGATCATCGAGTAAGTAATGCAGTTGTTAGAAAACGGGTACTGGGTAAGGATGGGAAATCAATTGACGAAGTAGTGAAACTTCATCAGCTGAGATGGCTGGGACACGTGTTACGTATGCCCAACGACCGACTGCCCCGACGTACGATGTTCAGTGGTATAGGAATAGGTTGGAAGAAAGCTAGGGTCGACCAGACCAAAACGTGGCATAAATCCATGAAGTTGCTGACAAGTGGACTGAGCCACATTGGTAGGTGTAGACTACCTGGTTGGGGACCGCGAGATGATGGCAACCGATGGTTAGAGACCTTGAATGACATGGCACAAAATCGCTTGCAATGGCGGAGGTGCATCCAATCTTTGTGTTCTCCCAAATTCTAATTTTCTGAGTTCTTCGTGTCTCTTTTTTCGTCTTCCAAATTTATTTCACTGGATTATGCTGCTTGAATAACATCTTCAAACCCTAATCTTTCCGACTACTGTTTATACACTTACTACCTCTACCACTATGGAATTTGAATCGACAATTGTATCTCTGTACTAATGTGGTATGGCAGTTTGAACTGATGTACGTACGTACGAAGTTCTACTTTGTTTCTGACGGACTGACTGAGCTTAAAAACTTATGACTGTCTGGTACTATGTAAGTAAAAGCATGATCATAACATAGGTACGTATTACCAAATGCGACGGACCGATGTGTTAGAGATTTATTGAGAACTAGGAAACACTGGACAGCTATTACGTTCTAGTATGAGACTCCTCAACAGTGCGCACCTACAACTTCACGATCATGAGTGGAAACCAGGACCTTCAACTTGCGTGCAAACGCTTAATCACTAGACCACTGAGCCGCAATTCATTGGCGTATATGTTTAACCTCAAAAAAATCTATATTGGAGCCCAGAGTTAACGCGTGAGACCGAGGGTCCTGAGCTCGATCACCGGTTGTGGGTTTATGGATGCACACTGGTGAGAAGTACCGTACAAGAACTTATTAGCTGTTCCGTGCTTTCTGGTTTTAAATGGATATCTAGCTTATACTGATTCTTAATATCAATACCAATCAATAATCTCCACAAACCTCCACACACATACGTTGTTAAGTGAATAATTTATGAATATCCATTTATTAAGGTAGTCAAAACCTGTGTCGCTCTGGTTTAGACAATGTTGGATAGGATACATAGAGGTTCGACTCAAGAATTCACTAATCGTTTATCCGAAGAGTTTCAAAGATGAATGACTGAAAGAACCATAGACTAAAACACTTGTTTCATATTCGCTGAAAATGAACAAGATGGTACAGATGTATTCAATATTCCTTTTGTTGTTACTGATACTTACTATTATATAGGAATTCAAAGTTTTAGAATTATGGCTGTAAAGTGTACTAATTAGAAGATATCAGGTTCTATTTTGCTCCATTTAATTATTTCAAGGTTTAGTTCATAGACTAAAATTAAAAAACGGAGTTAAGAGAATTATATATATTCACAGAGACTTACACGTTTCACTTCAATAAACGTATTCCTTGGATTATACCATTCCATAACAAGGATACTTTTATCAATAGCACCACATAAATATTTCATCCCTTTGAATTGATTACGCACCACAGTTGCAATGTAACAACCCCGTGTGTCTGGAACTTTGACAGTTGGTTGAAAACGCCTTAAACATGATAGTATGCGTGTAAAAGAGATAAAGATTAAACAGACATTAAAATCCGACATACCATTTCACCATCCGCCCACCTCCACAAACTCCCCCTCCCCGAGAGGAAGAAGTCGTAATGCTCAGCCTAACGTCAATTATTTAAGAGTAATTTAATGTAGTAAACTAGTCACCATTGTGACAAAGGTAAGTGGTATTGTAATAATAGGTAGTTTCCGAAACGTACCAAAGAAAGCGAAAAGTAGTCTTTAAAAAATGACACGAACGGAAAAAGAACAACTATCTGACTATTTGATTTGAAAAAAAGATCTATTAGAGTAGGTTATCTAAACAATAGCAATCGATGAACGTATGTAATAGGCTTCCAATTACAAGCTCTTTCGTACAAAAGCTAGTGATACTACTCAGCTGACTAAGACGAATCTGGGGTTCGAACTTGCTGTGTGACAGTTGAAAACTTAGTGGTTTTAATTACTAAGTTACTAACTAGATTTACGCAGTGCTTAATCGCTAGATCAATCGACAAATATTCATTATTTTAAGAAAACTTTCCTTGACAGCGTTAATGCACGTTTTCTCTCCCATAGAAAATTAACTAAGTTGTTGTTCAACACGTCTTCAACTATCGCCAGATGCATCAAAGTACTTTATATCATTCTTACATCTTTATACATCGTTTTATCATCGAAACGGTTGCGTAGATTAACATACGGTACAATCCTATTTTTGTCAGTTGCAAAAAATCCCTACTCCATTTAACTGTCTGATCTTTTCATTAGTTTACAGATTATATATGGTAACTTAACACACAGACTATAAAGTACATTATATATTGCCATTTCACTATATACAGATAAAAAGGATGAAATAATTTTGACTGAACACAAAAAATTGTGCATTTTGTTTATAGTTATATTTCAGTGATCATCGTCACACTCATTCATCAATTATCACCATATTGCAGATCAATAATTTAAAACAAACTGTTCAAAACTAGTTAAATAGATTAATTTGAAAAGGCACATTTTGTAGTTGTTGTGATGTTGGCTGTCAACAAAAAAAAATGTACATGCACATCCATTTAGTTATTTACTGAAATCGGTATCTTGTTTTTCTCTTATAGTTAAACACAATGGATGACTAATTTACTAAAGCTGTTTTTTATGTAACAAATTTCAAATGGTGTTTAGTCGTGGTAAGCATTATGCCAGCTAGGTGTATGAATTTCGAAGAGGTCCTAAAAACAATTCCATGGGATAGTATTGCGTCATAGATGAGCGATTCCAAGCTGTCACAACTTACGAAACAAAAAAGAACCGTCTAATACATTTTGGTTTCTATTGATTTTTAAACTAATATTACTTCATGATAAGAACTATAAATAAATTCATAATACTGAATGACCATACGTTTTTGGCGAGAATGTATTCTTTGAGTTAGATGGTATAACCTTGAAGCTTTCATTATCTTTCCTGATATTTGTCTGCAAAGAATGACAGGATAAACGTTGACAATAATCAATCAAATTTAATATCGACAGAATAAGCTGTTAGTTTACTTGTAGTGAAGTAATGTAAGCTTCAAATTGAAATTACCTTGATTTTAGAGAATACAAACCTACCAAAATCACTGATCTTGAATATCAATAAAAATTATCACTACTATTTCGATTATACATAAATCACTTCTAAAAATATGTTTGTTCAGTCAGTCACATATCGCCTGAAACACTTTATCATCTTATAACTTCTACATTCTTTACTAATATATCGTTACATTTCAACAATTTGAGGTGGATGTAAGTAGCTTATAATTGAATCAATTAACCATACATATACAGAACATAGAAGCCTGAGAACAAATATACATATCCCATATTTTCCAGTCGTATTAATGCAATACGAAAAAGAAAAATGACTCGAAACAACAAAGATAATAATAATGCCAAGTGTATTGAAAATTAAATATAATCTGCCAAAAAAGGAATGGAATTTCAGACAGTCTAAATTATAATCCAAAAAGTTTTAGTACAGAGAGCACAAATGCTTTTGTAGAGAAAAAAATCTATTCAAAGTTTTACGAATGAATTTTTAAAATTAGATCTTTCCCATTGCACTTTCTAAGTCACAAAGTCAAAAGAGCGCATGGTGTGTGCATATATATACAAACACAGAGAGATACGTGTACCTGTTATCGGTTTTAAAAGATGCCGATAGCTGTTGTACAACAAGCATAAACAGAGCTCCTTATATAAAATTAATTGGATATATATACATCATTGAACATTTGCTCAATTTATAAGGCAAAAAATGTTACAGTTTCCAGACCAATTGTATAATTGACTATGTACACGTTATAATTAAGAAGAGAAATATGTTGATTACATAACAATGACGACTGATTTCAAGAAATTATTGGAAAAACTTATTTCCTTAGTGCGTGAAAACTATCCTTGACTTATTCAGGTTATAATCGGATGGTGGACAACTGAACTAAAGGCCGATAGAGATGCTTCATAAAGTGTTTTCATTTTTGCGACAAACTATTAGAAAAAGGCAATACTTTCATTGACTATCTAGTCTTCGTTTATTCTGTAGGCTCGTAACGTGTCTCAAATACGCGGATTATTGAAGTCATTCTTCATGAATAATGACAAATATCTTTGTCGAGTAAACAGTGCTGAAATTATTCAACAATCCTGAGTAGCAGTCCGCTATCATTGGTGAAATCCTTCATGAAAGTGTTCCTTATATTCTAATAGATGGCGATAACTCATATGCAAAATTCATCCGATAATGACAACAGACGATTGCCAGTGACGAGTGGACTATAATTACGAAGTGGTTGGAATTGGAAAATGTCATAACTATCCACGGTAAAGGGAACTGTTGAATTAACTGAGCATCAGGAAAATGATGTAGTAGAGATTGAGATCATACACGTTTAAACGAAATTAACCATTGAAGAAAGTGATAATTTACTTTAGGTAAATGATTTCGTCGGACAGAAAATTTTCTTCGCTGAATTCTCCTTATTTTTATTTAATTTACTTTTCGTTGAATTTCAGTCACCCTTAACATGCAACTAAATGATGCAATACATTGTCTAGCATTGCATCTCTTGTCACGCTCACACAATAGGACATCTGATAAGTTTTCATTTCCAGCTTGTGAAAAAGAGGTAGATAATAATAGCGATTTTCGTTGTAACTAACATGGTCCACATGAAATAAATAAAACCTCTTGACATGTAAGAATGAAACAGAGCGAGGGGACATATCCTGCCCCCAGAAACTTACTTATGAAGAAATCGTGTTTGTGATGTTCGACTTTTCATCAATGAAATTAAATTATGACTAAATAATTGAGGATGTTGACCTGATATTGACATCATTGTATCTTTGAATACAAATAACCAAAGACATCGTCTTGGAACAAGCTAATAAGTGGAAAACGAAAGAATAATCTTATGAAGCGGTCTTCTTAAAAAAATTGAAAGGTTATGTATTTATGAAATTTATATCCCTTGTAATATATATATATATATATTTAACAACTAGAGCACTCAGTCAGTCAGTCAGCTACGACGTGGGACTAGGCACATATATGCATCGGTCCAAGTTGCCACATCTCATTAGCATAGCAAGATGAACACCAGATTCATAGAAGCAGTTAACTCAATAATGTAATATATAAAGGAAAGATTGCATATAAGGATATAATACAGGAAGAAAGAATTAGTTCGTAGAAAGAAAGATATGAAGTGATTTTAATCTCATAGTTTAAAGGAAGACAAAGAGTGTATACACCGACGCCATTGTGATCGATTCTGAGCCATGTCACCAAGAGTCTCCAACCATTGGTTACGATAGTCATGCAGACCCCAACCAAGTAGTCTGCATCTACCAACATGATTCATACCAGAAGTTAGTGAATTCAAGCACTGATGCCACGTTTTGGCTTGGCCGCCCCTAACTTTCTTCCAACCATTCCCAACACTAGTCAGCATTGTGCGTCGTGGTAATCAATGTCCAGGCATTCGTAACAGGTGACCCAACCATCTCATTCGATGAAGATTCACAACCTTATCAACTGGTTTACCATCATTCCCTAATACCTTGCGTCGAACCTCACTATCACTTACCCGGTGATCTCAGTAGATGCGAGCAATATTTCTAAGGCATCTGTGGTCACTCACTAACCGAGTGGTGTAAACCAACAATAATGAAGCGCATTGGTAGGTAACATCTGTTGTGTCCACAAATCGTTTGTTTCACCTTATTCAACGTAACCATGATAACTAATTATTTTGTACAAGTACTAGAGAGAACCGGATCCGAAGACAACACGAGTCTACAAAGTCATCGACTAGTTGGACTAGGATGTATTGTAAGGGGCTTGGGGAAATTTTAATTAATGAATACAGAGCTTAAGGCATATGAGATGAAATTAACCGAAACGATCCAAGTATTCTCATTCATTATATTCTATAAAGTTGCTAAACATACTGTCGACTCCCAGTATTATTCGTTTCCTATAGATTTTTTGTCATAATTCTAATTTTAGACCAGTTCTGGTTTTTTAATCACTTTTTACTTTTCTTGGTAATGTCGAAAGTTGGACAAATAAATATTTTTACTAGGATCCTACGTTATTCATGTCTGTTTACAAATAGATTAGATGAAATTGGAATGTGATTGATTGCAGGAAAAAACATGTAACTTCGTGGTACACGGTACTTATGTTACGTATTTGTGAAATTGTGATGTTAACTAGATAGAGGCACATAAAAATATATTTCTTTTTTAACTTTCATCTGCAACCATAAAGTAATGGTATTACAGTTAGGAAATACCAATTTATTTTCGATACGTTTTTTTACTTAATCACGAATTTTCCCATGTGGAGAATCCTCCATTTTTGGAATTATCGATATTGACATGATCGTTAAAAAAAGTCGTTAAATTTAAACGAAATCCGGATCTTTGGAAAACGAGACGAGATCGGTCGAGTCCCTGTGAATTTTAAAACATAAATATGAACAGTTATAACTTTTCTTATAGTATACATATCATTGAAGCCAAGTGTTCGATAGAAAAAAGGGTAGAGAATTAATGATTTCTATGCAAAACTGAGAATTGAAACATACACACACGCAGGTTCCAACATACACTCAAGCATTCATAACAAGTTAATATGCACAAACTAATACATTTTAAAAAATACTATTGAAACGCAATTTAACTATTATGGACAAAGTCATATCCGGATTGGCTATTGAAAAAACTTATCATCTAATTTAAACGAAAATTCAATAATTGTGAAGTTTCTAAGATAGTTCTATGCTACTCACGGAATATATGCAAAATAGATTGAAACTTTTATATAAAAGTCTTCAGACAGAGATAAACATTGTATTTTAGGTTATTGGAGGCAGCCGACAAGAAAGCATGAACGTGGGTCCTGTTGCAGTAAGCACTTTTTAGCAAGGCGAACTTGTAGGGTTTAGGGAACTGATAAGTAGCACTTAAGAAATGTCATCACGTATTCTATTCAGATGAACAGTGATATTGTAGTGATTATTTAAATCACATTTTTTTCAATGAGAGTAAAGTAAGTTAGTCGTCAACATAGGACATGATAGAAATGTGTATTAGTCCAACTTCAGATTAGTTCAATGAGAGGAAAGACAGAATTATGGAAATTAAGAGTTGCAATGATTATACCAAGGTTGTAAGTTAATCATGAGGAGGTAATTTGAAAACAACGAATGACATCAGAAAGGAGGAAAACTATGAAAACATTTGTATCTCTTAAGTCGATAAAAAATTGTACTAATCCATTACCCAAACCATGGATTGCCAATATGTCCACTTTTATCCTGCTAATCAATGCCTAAACTAGGCAATAGTACATCCTCGGGTAGGCAGAGACTGGGTTTGTGTGTGACACATTCCTCAACCACCGTAGTTAACGGAGGTTTAAGATTGCGTCAGATAATTTTCACAGGCAAGTAAAACATAGGCTTCGATCTTCGTCTTAATGTTGTATATAAATATTCCTAACGGAAATGTTATCAGATAGTTTCACAGTTATCATGATAGCAACAATTAGTTCTAGTGATACATAAAGTCAACATATATTAATTACATAAATGCATTTGTATGCACATATATGTGCGCACATCCAAAGCAACAAGAGATTCATTGATTACAACAATCAATTAATTTTGTAACCAGACAATAAAATAAATGCAAAGAGAAAGTAAAACACACTTACCAACTCTAATGTACCATCAGCTAAATTGACCAAATCAAGGTAATAAATACCATCGTTCGTGCCAAACAGAATAATTTGACCTTCAGGAGGAAAGTAAAGGTAGTATAGTATGGTAAATTGTTCCGTGTGCAATAAACACACAAAATATCAGTGGCAAAAAACTTTCTCCACTAAATGACAGTCGAACTAATAAGCTTCTCCCCACTCCCAAATTTTTTATCTTATTTACACATACTACGATTTATAATAGTGATGATGGCTTTTAATGAAAAATAAACAAAGGCTAAGCTGTTTGAAATATGAACAACAAAATAAAAATGTTAACCAGTTGTTTAACAGCATTATCACTAAGGCATATAGTTCTTTTTTATCCTAATCAATTAAAGTGGATTATTGCTTAATACAATAAAATAAAGCATGGTTGAAGCAATAAGTAATCGTTTGAACTGATTTTTTTATTGCTGAGTCATAAAATTCTATGACACCTACCCACCTACATACATATTCCCTCTCTCCCTATTAGATTTCACTCATTTAATATGAGTGAACGCAAGAACAACGATGTATCTTAGATAAATATTAGTTAATGAATGAAATCACGGGATTTAACAAATGTATCATTTACATACAGAATAATCATATTAAACCAATTAACAAATTTGATGATTTATGTGCAGTGTACTATTTTGTACATTGTCGTTAACTATACAGTAATTGATGGTATAATAAAATAGAGTGAAGTATGTGATCATGAAAACTTTGAGAAAATGGTGAAGGATAATAAATAGTTTGACTTCAGTAAATAGTTTTCCCGAATGGGATAAAAATTTCATAGTAAGCAATTTTTGTAATTACCTCAACAATGTGTAAATAAAAATATTAATTAATCCATACAGTATTGCAGGTTGCTATTTGTCTGTTTAGCCTTTTGCACTATCGGAAGCTTAGTGGATATAAGGCGTAGTAGAATAGTTATACAATACACTACCCCAAATGCCCTGGTATGGCCGAGAGCGAGGTGGGTTCGCCCTCCCTCTCGAAATACTCTCACACGGCCGCGCGTATACTAATCGATTGGATCCCCATTAACAGTCGGTTATGTGTTGTTAGACCAGAATGTTCCATCAAAGTGAGAAGAAATGGACGTGAGAAACAACGTTTTTTCGCCATCTCCGCCTATGCACCGACAGATTGCAGCCCGGATGCAATCAAGGATGAGTTTTACCACCAGTTAACTGTTCTTCTCCAGAAAGTGCGTTCGACAGATATTGTAGTACTAGCCGGAGACTTGAATGCTCAGGTCGGGTGTCTAGGCACAGAAGAGAGTCGTTTAGGTGGCCGATGGGGAATTGTTGGTCGCAGGTCAGATAACGGGGACCGTCTACTGCAACTGTGCACAGACCAAAACCTGTTTCTGGCTAGCACTAACTTTCGGCACAGTCATCGCCGATGTGCCACCTGGCGTCCTCCTTCTGCATCCCAAGCCTGGACTCAGATTGATCACATCGCGATCAGCTACCGCTGGCGTGGTTGTGTACAAGACTGCCGCTCCTTTTGGAGTACCTATCTGGACTCTGACCATGCCTTGGTCTGCGCCAATCTTACCTTACTTTTCAGTGGCCAACGAAGTGACCGCCAACAACGGATTGATGTTAGCAAGCTGGTTGCAACTTCTGTTGCAAGTAAGTATCGAACCGAGCTAGCCTCTAGGCTAGCTACCACTCCACCGAAAAGTATAGATGAGCATTGGTTGCAATTGCATGACGCCATGAAAATGGCGGGAACAGTCAGTTGTGGGTTTGCGAAACGTCCCGCTTTAAGCACTGGGTTTCTTCTGGTTCCTTACAACTCATTGAAGCCCGTCGGTCTACTCCGGGTGACCGTGAGTTTGACCACAAACGAAGGATGTTACGTAAGGAAATTGGGCAAAGCTTGCGTAAGGACCGAGAAGCCTGGTGGTCGATGCGTGCTAATGAGCTGGAAGCAGCAGCTGCATCTGGTAACTACCGGAAGCTCTTCCAACTCATCCGAGCCACTGGCAGCAAGAAGTCTGGTGTGAGTGAAACAATCTGCGAGGATGATGGGATGCCAATCACTAACATCCATCGACGTCTTGGACGATGGGCAGAATTTTTCGAAGGGCAGTTCAACTGGCCTGCTGCTCCGGCAACATCGGTCAGACTGTCCTGCCCTCCATGGCCGGTGACGACTGATCCACCAAATGAGGAGGAAGTCCGCAAGGAACTCCAACTCTTGAAGCGTTACAAATCACCTGGCCCAGATGACTTACCTCCGGCTCTTTTTAAAGATGGTGGTGACTTTTTGACTAAGGAATTGACGACGTTGTTTACAAAGGTTTGGGAACTAGAGAGTGTACCAACGTCATGGAATGAGTCGATAGTTGTCCCTATCTTTAAAAAGGGTTCACGTCGTTCTTGTAACAACTATCGGGGGATAAGTCTACTTCCGATTGCGTCCAAGCTATTGGCTTCCGTCATACTTCGTAGGTTGTTCAAAACCCGAGAAAGATTGACTCGCGAGGAGCAGGCTGGGTTTCGTTCTGGTCGAGGATGTATTGATCATATCTTCACCCTCCGCCAAATGTTAGAACACCGCCATACTTATCAAAGGCCAACAATCGTAGTGTTTCTTGACATCAGGGCTGCCTTCGATTCGTTGGATAGGACTGTTCTCTGGGATTGTCTATTGAAGAAGGGTGTGCCTGAGAAGTTTATTAACATCCTAAAAGCCCTATATAAAAACACCTCAGGCAGAGTGAGGGCATACAACCACCTCTCTCCATTGTTCCATTCGAGCAGTGGGGTTAGGCAGGGTTGCCCAATCTCACCATTCCTCTTCAACTTTGCCATCGATGACATTCTGGAAACAGCTCTGATGAATGTAAGTAATGGTGGTGTGGATCTGTTGCCTGGAGAAAGACTTCTCGACCTGGAGTATGCGGACGATATTGTCTTACTGTGCGATAATGCTCAAGCCATGCAATCCGCACTTAATCAGTTCGCAATCAGTATCCATAGGTATGGTATGTGCTTTGCACCTTCAAAATGCAAAGTACTTCTACAAGACTGGCAGGAGTCAGTCAGTCAGCTACAACGTAGGACCAGGCACATATGTGCATCGGTCCAGGTTGCCATACCGCATCAGCACAACAAGATGAACACCGGATTCATAGGAGTGGTTAGGTCAAAGGTGGTAATATATAAGAGAAAGATTGCATATAGATATATAGTACAAGAAGAAAAAATTGGTTCGTAGAAAGAAAGATATGAAGCGACTTTAATCTCTTAGTTTAAGGGAAGACAGAGAGTGTATACACCGACGCCATTGTGATCGATTCTGAGCCATGTCACCAAGAGTCTCCAACCATTGGTTACGATAGTCACGCGGACCCCAACCAAGTAGTCTGCATCTACCAACATGACACATCAAAAGTCAGTGACTTTAAGCACTGATGCCACGTTTTGGCTTGGCCGCCCCTAACTTTCTTCCAACCATTTCCAACACCGGTTAGCATTGCGCGTCGTGGTAATCTGTGTTCAGGCATACGTAACACGTGGCCCAACCATCTCAGTCGATGAAGATTCACAACCTCTTCAACTGATTTACCATCATTCCCTAATACTCTGCGTGGAGTTAGACAGGGTTCCCCAATCTCATCATTTCTCTTCAACTTTGCCATCGATGACATTCTGGAAACAGCTCTGATGGATGTAAGTAATGGTGGTGTGGATCTGTTGCCCGGAGAAAAACTTCTCGACCTTGAGTATGTGGATGACATTGTCTTACTGTGCGATAATGCCCAAGCCATGCAATCCGCACTTAATCAGTTCGCAATCAGTATCCATAGGTATGGTATGTGCTTTGCACCCTCGAAGTGCAAAGTACTTCTACAAGACTGGCAGGATTCTAATCCTGTACTCACTCTGGATGGTGAGCATATAGAAGTAGTCGAGAAGTTCGTGTATCTGGGTGGCTGCATAAGTGCTGGTGGTGGCGTGAGTGATGCGATCAATGCATGTATAGTGAAAGCCAGAGCGGCTTATGCCAATCTGGGCCATCTTCGAGGCCTTCGTGATGTTAGTCTGGCTGTGAAAATGTTCGGATCTACAACGGGTCGGTGAGAGCAGTTTCGCCCTATGCTTGTGAAACCCGGCCTTTCCGAGTTGAGGACGTTAGACGACTCTCTGAGCTCGATCATCGTTGTCTCCGAAGGATTGCTGACATCCAGTGGCAACACCATGTTAGTAATGCAGAGGTTCGGCATCGTCTGTTCGGGCACAGAGATGATAATGCAATTGGTGTCACCATCTTGAAACACCGACTTCGGTGACTTGGATATGTTCTACGAATATCGTCCCAGAAAATCCCATGTCGTGCATTATTTGCCGACGCTGGGACTGGTTGGAAAGGACGGAGAGGTGGTCAGTGTATGACATGGCGTCGTGGTATGAAAAAATCTGTAAATGGCTAGCTTCTGTTGGTCTTTCTCGACTCCCTGGTTGGGGTCTGAGAGATGGTGCGACACAGTGGCTAGAGACGTTATCAGATATGGCTCAGAATAGAAGCCGGTGGCGATCCTGCTGTAACCTTCTTTTGCTTCCTTCATAAAGCGTGGTTGTATCTTTTCTTAACTGAAAGATTTCTTCTGATTGTACCTTTCTGTTCCCCCTACTATTACTATTATTATTACACTACCTTACACCAATCTCTTCGTTATTGTTTTTTTTGGTACGTTCCCCACTTTTTTTTCTTTTTCTTCTTCTTAAGTTCTCATTGTTTTGTGTGGCGCATTCCTGTGCCAATATATATGTGTTCAAATAATAATAATAATAATAATAATAATAATAATAATAATAAATATACAATACACTAAACTTGTTAGATGCAACGTTACCTTAATTTAGAGGGGGCTAATTTACACCAGTTATAAGTATGAAGTAGTGGATACCATTTTTAAAGGGATCTAATACTAGACATTTTAAGTAGCGTGGCCATCAGGATATATTTACATCTGTTTCTTTATTGGAATTTATAACTAGCATTATGACAAAAAAACGTT